AAAAGACTTCACTTTACACCATAACAAGCTCCCCACAAGGCTTACTTTCCAAACCCACTTCAAGATCAAACCAAAAGATCATAAAGATCCTACCTTTAAGAAAAAGACAACTAAGATGGAACCAAAAACACAAGAAGAACTTAGATCTTACCCTCCTAGATGCCCAAATAGGTGAAAGGTTGAATCTTGGAAGCAAATCTTGGAATATTGACAAGGGTCAACTTGGCTTGGAGAATAAGCTACGCTTCTTTTCTCGAGAAAAGGTAGAGCTAATTTCTAAGAAATGTATGGAATGAAATGAAGAAGTCTTCTAGGTTAAGTTACAATACTAACTCTTGGTGAAAAGTCAAGAATACCCTTACTAACTTTTAGAAAGTGTAAGGAACAAGGGAACTCCCCTCAAAGCTCAAAGTACAACACAACTTTAAGGTTGACTAGTCAAATACTAGTCCTTGAGTATGAAAAATCAGAATTTTAAGAATTAATTCATCAAATAAAATAGGATTAATTACTCAATTAATCCATGGATTGAATGTGGATTTTTGGGGTGTCACACTTTCTCTTTCTCAATTGTTTTTTCATTTCACTCTCAAAGTTTCATCATATTATTGAGGTAGTATTGACATAATTTTATTTAGGAAATTATAATTTATGCCCTTCATAATATGTCAATTATCAATGTCACCATTGAATTGTTAATGGTGTAAATGTTGCGCCTCAATTTTTAAAACGGTACATATATTGCCACTCCCGTACCGTACAGGAGGGACAATATATATATATATATATATATATATATATATATATATATATATATATCATTTTAAAAATTGAGGGACAACATTTACACTACGAGAGGACACTATATGTACCATTTTGAAAATTGAGGAACAATATTTACACCACTAATAATTTAGAGGTGACATTGATAATTAACATATTATGGAAGGACATAAATTACAATTTTCCCTTTTATTTAAGTAACTCACAGTGCCATTGGTATAACGTTGATAAAGTGGTGGGTACAAGACATGAAAACTCTGCGGGTTTAATTGCTTTAACAACTTTTCACATGGACAACTGACACATATGGAACATAAAAAATCACCCATTTTTTTTTTCTTTTTGAATGCAAAAAAAAAAAAAAAAAAAAAAAAAATCACCCATTTAATTACAAGTTACAACTAATTATAACTAAAAAGGATTTGCATTTGCTGGACAACAGATATGGCACATAATAAACTACAATAGTTTTTCGCAGTTAGATTCCGACTTACATTAAACAATTACATCTCATATTATGTTGTCATTATCTAACTCTAATCTTTACAAATTGCAAAAATTGTTAACATAAAAAAGAAAATCTTGTTTAAAATTTGTAGCAAAAATAGTATTTTAAGTGGTTATTTAGTGATATAAATATATATGTGGTACACTTTCAATTTTGAGTCAGGTCAAAGTGAATTTGAATTCTTTGAATTTAGACTAAGAAATTGATATGTTGTACATTTAAAACGGATACAGATAATGGTTGAATGGGAAGTTGATTGTGAAAGTAGAACCATTTAAGTTGAAAAATAGAAATGAGAAAGTTTGAAAGTAGCCTTTGTCTTACATTGTTGGAATACGAAGTTGGTTTGCACTAGTATGTATACAATTCTGATCCCTTTTAACAGTTTAAATTGTATAGCATAAATGATTTTTCTCTTTTGTGCATGAGGGGAGTGCACCCCCGACCTGCGTACACAAATATCGTTCGAAAATTGACATATTTTTTCAACTGAAATGAAAAGTGATTTGGCACCTTTAGAAAATATGCCACTCGTTAGAAAATAAGTTAACTTCTCGGATGTACTATATTTGAGAAGTGGATTCAACTTCTCAGTATGTAATCTTAGGGAATTTAGTTTCTGGCTGGCAAAGTGACCTTGGACAAGTTAATGTTTTGAGCAATTTGACCAGGCTTGAGGTGCTCAAGTTAATGACTTTCGACATTGGCAAAAAGTGGAACTATCATATATAGAAGTTTGTCTCACATTTGAATGAGAAATATGTTTGTATTAGTATATATACAATTTTAGTTTAGCAGAAATTTGAATTGTATAGCACAAATATTCTAAAAAAGTTTGAAGTGGTTCCCATTATTTATTGCTATTTATTTCCTCATACGACAAATTTGCTTTATGGACTTATTAAACACCTACAAAACTAAAAGCCAATGCTGCTTCTAATTAGACTTATTCAACGCCACAATGCCGACATCTTCTAATTTATTAGACCCACTTGCCATCTTCTAATTAGACTTATTCAACACTACAATGCTGCCATCCATCTTCTAATTTATAATTAGACCCATGCCACTTTATCCGCTTATTCCACACCAACAAAACTAAAAGAACTAAATGGTAGTCAATGCCCATCTTCTAATTAGACCCACTTTATCTGCTTATTCAACACTGTTACGAGACCGTAATAGATAGGAAACCTTTTGAGCAGGCTTTTAATTCCTAATTGTATTCGAATCACGGCAAATAATTTCAATTTCACACTTTGAGTGTGTGAAAGCTCCAATAAAAATAGCTAAAATAGTAGAATAACAATACATTACCAAATTCCACTCATCTTGCTTCTGCTAATCTTCACACCTACCCAACAAAGCTAGAGATAGAGAGAGAAAAGAATGGCTTGTGGAGCGCTAAGATTCAACAATTTCTTTCTATCATAAGTAACAAGTTACTTCGTATTATTCTAAATTTGACTCGCTTCACCGATAGATCCCCACTCAATTAATGAACACTCAATGATTATAAGGCACATCATAGAAAACAATATTAGGGAAAAAAATTGTAATTGAAATAAAATTAATATAGGCCAAGGGTCAGGTTGACATAACACTTGAATGACAAATTATTTGTGGACCATGGTCCACATAGCTGTGTGGACCATCAATATCATGTACATTTTTAATATATTTAAAGTACATTATTTGATAGTATATATAAAATGATGTACTTTTAGTACTCAAATAAAATACTTTCAAAAAATGTATTTTACGTATACAAATAATGTATTTTAAATATATTAAAAATATACTATGAAATATTTATTTATGATCTGCATAATTGTGTGGACCTCGCTCTATGTAATAATGATTGCACTTGAATTCTCTTGGCTATAATGAGCTAGGCTAGCTGAAACTTACCATTTTAAAACACTAATTCAAATGTTTAATTGATAAAATTGAACTTCGCCAAGCAAACAAAAAAGTAAATATAGATTGGGTCATGCCTACCTACTCCTGGCCATGATGACATTTTCTGGGGAGTCATTATTAGTAGATCAAGGTCCACACAGTTACGTAAACTACAAATAAAAAGCGCATTATTTGTGTATATGAAGTACATTATTTGATAGTATATACACTTTGAATACTGAAAGTACATTATTTTGTATATTATGAAATAATATACATTCAGTATACAAATAATGTACAAGAGAAATATTTTTTCTAAATAATGTACAAGATCCAGTATACAAATAATACAAATATTCAGTATACAAATTTAGTATATCAATTTTTCTAGTATAAATGTATATTTATTCAGAAAAATATTTTTTATTGGAAAAAGTTTTCCTCAAGAATGACATAATGAAGAAAAAGTTTTTCTTAGCTCACCCTTGGGGCTCGTTTTGGTTTCCGAAAATAATTGAAGGAAAATTGAATTGAAATTTTCATGAAAAAGCAATTACTAGAAAAATTGATTCCATTATTTGGTTGATGGAAAATAAATTATTAGAAATATTGATTCCATTATTTGGTTGGATTTGAAATTGTAAAAAATAATGAGTATAAAGACCTATATATCCATACACAATAATAATGATAATAAAAGTATGAATGAATTACAAGGGCACAAAAGTAATGTTAGCTCACTTTTTGTTCCCAAGTTCATGAAAAAATAAAGGGAAAATTGTAAAAAATGGCCCTCTATAATATACCAATTATCAATGTCACCCATGAATTATGAGTGGTGTAAATGTTGCTCATCAATTATCAAAACGGTGCACATATAGCCCCTCCCATAACGGACATGTGGTTCCCAATTCTTGCAATTCCACTCATCTTGCTTCTGCTAATCTTCACACCTACACGGCTAGACCAACAAGAGAGGGAGAGATAGAGATAGATAGAGAGAGAAAAGAATGGCTTGTGTAGCTGTAAATTCTCTTATCAGGACATTAGAGCTTTTTATTTTTTTAGAATCAGAACATTAGAGCTTGAGTTCTTGCAACCTCACCCTCGTTCAATCCTACAACAAATGAAACTCATCCCTTTTACAAAAAAGCTGATCCAATCTCTCCATGGAAAGCTTGGTTTTCTCATACAACTGTTTGACGAGAGCAGAGTGGATGGTGTTGAAGCAATTAAAGAGTTGGAAACAAAGCTCAGAGATGTAGCTTTCAGGGTAGAAGATGACATTGAACTCCATGTGGTACATCTCTATGAAGAAGCTAACAAGGAAATGAGACAAAGGATTAGTCCCTCTGTCCGATGGTGGAAATGCTGGATACATCCAAAAAAAAGAAGAGAAAACCCAGCATTCTCATAGACTTAGTCATGTATTGCGACAAGCAATAGAAGACATTGATGCCATTAAAGAAGAGCTGGAGAAAGTCAAGATGGAGTACAAGAATGTCACCATAGCTGTGCAAGGAAAGGAGACTACACTTGATGATGAACTTGTCAAGATGGATGGTTCCGATTCCTCCAATCGTGCTTCACACACTGAGGATATAATGGTCGGGAAAAACAATGAGTTCGAGACTATAAGGAAGATGATAATACAACATCCATCTAAACAACGAGAAGTTGTCTCAATTCAAGATATGGAAGGAATCGGCAAGACAATGTTAGCTATACGAGTTTATGAAGATCCATCTATTGTCTACCACTTTGACAAGCAAATATGGGTTGTTGTATCACAATATCATAATAAGAGGCAAATGCTCTTAGATCTTCTCGGTTCTAAAGATAACAGCAGTGATGGGGACCTAGCATTACAACTCTACCCACGTTTGAAGGGTCAAAGGTACTTGGTAGTGATGGATGACGTATGGAGCATAGAGTCATGGGATGATGTTAAATCTTGCTTTCCAGATGATAAAAATGGGAGTCGAGTATTGTTGACTACTCGCGTTGCAGAGGTGGCTTCTTGTATTGGCTCTAACAATTACTTTTCCCATCAAATGCAGTTTTTAGATCAAAGTGAAAGTTGGGAATTATTTCATAAAAAGGCATGCAAATGTCATGGTGTCGAATTTGAGACAATTGGGAGACCAATTGTTGAGAAATGTAAAGGATTGCCTTTGGCAATTGTTGTGGTAGCAGGTTTATTTTCAAAACTCAATAAGCTAGATGAGTGGAAGAATACTGCTAACACTACTACAGAAAACGGATTTAACGTCTACATTATAACGTCGGTTTTTTGAAAATCCGACGTTAAATATTTAAAATTATTTTTTATTTTTTTTTAAAAAAATACATATGACGTCGGTTATTTGGTATGGCCGATGCCGTATATTAAATAAAAAATAAATAAAAATAAAATAAAAAAATAAATACGAGATACGACGTCGGCGTTATACGTCGCCGACGCCGTATCTCAAATAATATATATATATATATATATATATATATATATATATATATATTATTTGAGATACGGCGTCGGCGACGTATATCTCCGACGCCGTATCTCTAATAATTAAAAAAAAAATGGTATACGGCGTCGGCGACGTATAACGCCGACGCCGTATACTCAAATTTAAAAAAAAAAAAAAAAGAAATACTAAATAGGAGATACGGCGTCGGAGTTAATTCTCCGACGCCGTATCCAATAATTAAAAAAATAAAATTAAAATGGTATACGGCGTCGGCGACGTATATCGCCGACGCCGTATACTCGAATTTTTAAAAAAAAAATAAAAAATAAATAGTAGATACGGCGTCGGAGAATTAATCTCCGACGCCGTATCTCCAATAATTAAAAAAAAATATTAAAATGGTATAGGCGTCGGCGACGTATAACGCCGACGCCGTATACTCAAATTTAAAAAAAAATAATAATAATAAATATAATTATACGGCGTCGGATACGTAAAATAACCGATGCCGTATAAAATTCATAATACACCCTAATGAAGCTAGAACATTTCAGATCGGTGCCCAAATTTCACACTCAACATTTCACACTCCTCACTCATCTGCTCCAAACTCCCACCGCCGCCGAACGCCCTACGCCACCGATGCTCTCCACCGCCGCCTAAGCCGTCGTCCTCGGCCTTGCTCGCCGCACGTCGACGTCGTCCTCGGCCTCGCTCGCAACAGTGCCTGCCTTGCCTCGCCGTCGTCCTCGCCGTCGCCCTACGTCGTCCTCGCCCTCGCGACTGCCGCACGTCGTCCTCGCTCGCCGCTCGCCGCCTCTCCTCGCGCTGGGTCGCCGGACATTCTGCAAGGTACGTACGTATATATATATATATATATATATATATATATATATATATATATATATATATATATATATATATATATATATTATAAATTAAAAATGGTTATGTATATATATTTTTTGAATTTTGAATTTTATATATTATTATTGTGTATATTTTCGAAATTTTAAGAATAATTGTGTATATATATATATTTAATTTTATAAGTTAGTGGGTCAATTATGAATTGTTGTGTGTTATGTGAAATTTTATGAAATTTTGTTTATATATTATTGTGTATATCTTGAAATTTTAGGAATAATTGTGTATGAACATTAAGGAATAAGGTTTAGTTTATAGACATATAGAACAAATATTATGAATATAATACATAATTTAAGTGAACAAATCTTAGCTTGATTCTTGATTTTGTATATGTATACAAATTTTACCTTAAAATTATTCATCTATGCGTGATTTTTGTTAATTAATATACTGGGTTTATTGATTCTTTTGAGTTGGCCTAAATTTTCATGTGTTTAATTAGGTAATTTCGATGTGGTTATTCTTTTACTGACCTATTTATATTACTCTCTCTGTTCATGGCATTGAAGCTTGGTGCTCTAACTATGTGATCAATTCATTAACTTAGTGTATAATTAATGCCAAAAGGTGTTGAGTAGTTTATGATTAATCCATGTTAACAACGAGTTTCTGTTCATTAAAGCATTGAAAATCTTGATGTCTAATTTCCATTTTCCGGAAAGTTGCTTAGAGCTCAATTTGGTCACCTCAGGTTTTGATGATCCCACCGATTAATGCAACTCTGAAATAGGAAGATAAGAAACCAGTGAGGAAAACTGTTTGTCTAGAAGCTGTAATGAAAGATTTGTATCAATAAATAGAAGAGCCAATGAGCTTTAGATTTATTCATGTTTTATATAAACATATCACTAGTTGATACTTAATATAAAATGATGTTGTTTTGGACCAAGGCCCACCATGCTAGGTGAATCTTGGTCCATAATTTGCCTTTTTCAAGTATATAACTTACCAAATAATTTAACTTAAAATGTTGTGAGAAAAATGTAATACTAATTGGCCGAAATGAATATAGTGTAGTTGTTGTAGTAGTTATAATTATATAAATTTGTTAAAATGTTGTTAACAAATGTTTAACTAGGTTATTATTATTTTAGATTTGCTTGTGATGGATAAAAGTTGGATGAAAACTAATCGACTTAGTCAGGAATATGAAGATGGAGTTAGAAATTTTTTACAGTTTGCAAATAATAACCTTCCGAATAGTAATAAGAGGTTCTCCTGTCCTTGTACGAAATGTTGTAATCAAAAAAGGTTAGGTGAAGAAGACATATATGATGATCTAATTGTTAATGGGATTAATCCATATTATACACAATGGATTTGGCACGGTGAAAGCGATGTGGCTACAACATCTAACATGTATGTTGACAATGAAGATGATGAGTTTGAAGATCGGTTGGATGAAATGTTTCGCGATGTTGGAGAAGAGTTTACCAATCGATCAAATGAGTTGGATGAATTATTGAATGATTCAAAACAACCTTTATGGCCAGGGTGTAGTAAATATACCAGATTATCTGCTGTATTAAAATTATTCAACTTGAAAGCTGGGAATGGGTGGAGCGACAAGAGCTTTATTGCTTTACTTAAAATAGTCAATGATATGCTTCCAGATGGTAATGAACTTCCCAAGAGTACATATGATGCCAAAAAGATGTTGTGTCCCATGGGTATGGGATACAAAAAAATACATGCTTGCCCTAACGATTGCATATTGTTTAGGAATGATTACAAAGACTTGCATGCATGTCCAATATGCGGGGCATCTCGTTATAAAACAAGAGAGAGTGGTAAAGTACGTTTGAAAAGTCCACCAGCTAAAGTTTTGTGGTATCTCCCAATTCTTCCAAGATTTAAGCGCATGTTTGCAAATCCAAGCGATGCGAAGAACTTATCATGGCATGCAGATGAAAGAATTTCCGATGGCAAGCTTCGACACCCGGCTGATTCTTCTCAATGGATAACATTTGATAATGCATTTCCTGAATTTGGCCACGAGTCGAGAAATCTTAGACTTGGACTTTGTACTGATGGTATTAACCCTCACGGGAACCTAAGTAGCAAGCATAGCTCGTGGCCAGTTATGTTGATAATTTATAATCTACCCCCGTGGTTGTGTATGAAACGCAAATACATATTATTAAGCTTGATGATTTCTGGGCCAAAACAACCAGGTAATGATATAGATGTTTTTTTGGCTCCTTTGATTGATGACTTGAAGCAATTATGGGATGAAGGTGTGTTAGTGTTTGACGCATACCGGAAGGAGACTTTTAAGTTGCATGTAATGCTTTTTTGCACAATCAATGACTTTCCAGCTTATGGTAACTTGTCTGGATATAGTGTCAAAGGTCATAAGGCATGCCCCATATGTGAAGATAATACCTGTTATCATCAACTGGTTCATGGTAGAAAGACTGTATACATGGGGCATCGGAGATTTCTTGATAAATTTTACCCTTATAGAAAATTAAAAAAGGCATTCAATGGGGTTCAAGACTATACAGATGCTCCACAACCATTAACAGGGAATCAAGTTTATGAACGAGTTGAATGCATCAATGTTACTTTTGGTAAGACTCAAAAGCTTCAATCTCAAAGAGGTAAGAGGTTAAAAGAGATACCTACAAATGAGAAGAGTCCGTGGAAAAAGAAATCTATATTTTTTGATCTTCCATATTGGAAGACACTAGATGTGAGACATAGTATTGATGTGATGCATGTGGAGAAAAATGTATGTGATAGTCTTGTTGGAACTCTTTTAGACATTAAAGGTAAGACTAAAGATGGACTCAATGCTAGATTGGATTTGGTTGAAATGTGTATACGACCTACATTAGCTCCACGTTGCGGGGATAAGAGAACATATTTGCCTCCAGCTGCTCATACTTTATCAAGAAAGGAGAAAATAAGTTTTTGTGAGTGTTTACGTGGAGTAAAGGTACCACAATGGTATTCATCAAATATCAGTAAACTTGTTAATATGCAAGATTTAAAGTTGGTGGGGTTGAAGTCTCATGATTGTCATGTCTTAATGCAACAACTATTGCCAGTGGCTGTTAGAGGCATATTGCCTAAAAAGTTGAGATATACCATCATAAGACTTTGTTTCTTTTTCAATGCAATATGTGGGAAAGTTGTTGATCCAGACAAATTAGATGAATTGCAAAATGACATTATTGTTACACTGTGTCAGCTAGAGATGCACTTTCCACCTTCATTTTTTGATATCATGGTTCATTTGCTTGTGCATTTGGTGAGAGAGATCAAACATTGTGGTCCAGCTTATTTGAGGTGGATGTACCCATTTGAACGGTACATGAAAGTATTAAAAGGTTATGTTAGGAACCGATATAGGCCGGAAGCATCTATAGTTGAAAGCTATGTTGCAGAGGAGGTTACTGAGTTTTGTACAGAATATTTGGCAGGGGTAGAGGTTATTGGTGTTTCTACTAATCGACATGAAGGAAGAATTGCTGGGAAGGGTACTCGAGGAATCAAAGTGAAGACTATGCCTCGTGAAGATGTTGAGGAGGCACACTTGTACATCTTGCATAATACAAGTGAAGTCGAGCCGTATTTAGATGAACACAAGGCATTGATTAGAGAGAAAAATCCAAGAAGGACAGACATGTGGATTGTGGGCGAACATAATCAAACTTTTATTCGTTGGTTAAAAAATAAAGTTATTGAAGAGAATAATATGTCTGAAACTGTTTCATGGTTAGCACATGGTCCTGGTTTGGATGTCCTATGCTATAATGGATATGACATTAATGGGTTTTCTTTTTATAC